ATATACTCACCGGGGTTAAGATCAAGAACACCCAAGTAAAAGTAGATAATCACAGCAATCAATCAAGAGCAAATAAACATGCGATAGATATATCATTTATAGGATAACACATAAATCTTTTCAAACATACTCATACAGAACAATAGATTAACACTAAATTAATCAAACACACGGTCAACATATATGCAACAAATGCATAAATGACCCCACGAAAAGATCTACCACACTTATCCTATCCCATTCCGTGTTGTTCACTCCTCGAGAACACATATCTCACTTCATCGCCTACAATGCTCACTAGACTAATCACTCAAATCATGTCTAACTGGCAAGTCTCTATAGATCTTAAGTTCTCGGGATAATCCTGTATCACCACATCACTTCTCCAACCTAAGAGGATAATGGGTCTCCACCTAACAGAAGTGATAGAAGTGCCTCTCTCGCTCTCCACCTGATCAAGGTCTCTTACAGATAAAAGGATTCCTACAATTGTAACAAAAGACATACACACACACACACACACTGCCAAATGCATCACAAACCCACTATGCATGCAAACACATTACACCAAGTAATAAGATCACTCCAAATCATTCCAATGCATATATCAAACACATTGAAATGCAACATATAATCATGCAACCGAATTAAGCAATCACACACATGCAGAAAAGGATTACACATAGCGGTGGTAAAAAAGCTCGGAGGCTCGGACGACTCGGGCTTGGCTAGGAAAAAGCCCGAGCCGAGCCCAAGCTCGGGCCGAGCCCCACTTTGGGGAGTCGGCTGGAGCCCAGGCCGGCCCGTGGCCCGGGCGAGCCTCCTATAAAATAAAATAAAATTTTTTTTTTCGAAGGCAGCTAGCAAGCTGCCTGCAGCAGCTGCTGCAGGCAACAGCAAGCTGCCTACAGCAAGCACAGGCTGTAGGCACGCAGCAAGCTGCCTTTGTAGGCAGGCAGCTAGGAAAAAAAACCAAAAAAATCGAGCCGGCTCGACCTGCTAAGGCTCGGGCCGAGCCTCATTTTTTTTTGGACTGGCTCGGCTCGGGCCAAAAAAAGCTCGGTCCAAAAAAGTTCAAGCTCGGCTTGAGCTTTTTTTTTCGGCTCAGGCTCGGCTCTAATTACACACGGATGCAAATGAAGTAACTAGGGTAACGCTCAATAGGGTTCACTAGGGTCATCACTCGACCCAAGGACAGAATTCGCCTCACCACTCTCATCATCGTGCAATTCTAATAATAAAAAAAAATTAATTGGCAACAAATTCACAAAGAATTCAAGGCAAATAATTATACACAGATGAAGGAGAAAAATGGTTACCCCTCTTACTTCTCACCACCACACTCTCACACCTACTCACAGAGCAAATGGAGTATGCCATAGTTCTAATCCACTATGCATGCAAACAATTACACCAAGTAATAAGATCACACATGCAAAAAGAGTTACACATAGATGCTCATGCAGTAATCGGGTTTACTCTCAATAAACCTGACGCAGGTCATCACTCGACCCAAGGACAGAATTCGCTTCACCATTCTCATCAATTCTCCTTTTATTATCATACCTAGGACAGTCTATTCCAATCATATCCAAATCACCGCAGTTAAAACCCATCTCATTGCGCACTGAAATCATTATCCTGGTCGATAAATATAACTGCAATAATAAAAGGCAAAAAACATGATACGAGCAGACCACGTAGGTCCGTAAATATCAAGAACTGCGAATTCACCACTTTAGGACCATCACTATTCGTCCTAAAGTCTCCGGCAACAACGGCAACACGAAATGGCACCCAAACGTCCAAGGGCAAAATCGTCCAACTTTCACCATATTTTAAAATCATCGTAGGCACAAGAGCAATAATTTTGGCAAAAGCATATGAGTATTTGATTTTTGTTTCATCAGTGGTGGGCATTTGATTCTTAATGACTGTTATTAGAGAGCAAATGAAGTAGAAATTTGATTTTTGTTTTTCAATTTAATAGGACAAGGTTATTCTATAAGATCAACGTCTAGTACACTTAGCATCTTAATGAATAAAGTTCATGTTTGAGCTGAACATTTAATTAATGGTCTTTATATTTTAAACTATTTAATATATGAAATAAAAAAGGTTACTACTTTAAACCATAAAACGTTGCACTATACTAGTGATACATAACTATGGCATCTTGGACAAATCAACCTTAACAAAATACAAAAATTGACCAGAGATAGTCCTCTCAACTCGGTTAAGATCAAACCATTGTCAATTTGTGATTCTTGTTTAGAAGGCAAATGACCAAAATATCATTTTTTTGACAAAAAGAGAAAGAGCCAAAGATGTATTTGAACTAGTTCATTCTGATATGTGTGGACCTGTGAATATACTTGAGAGAGGGAATTATAAGTATTTCTTTATAGATGATTACTCTAGATTTAAATACATTTACCTAATGGCTTGAAAGTCATGCTTTTGAGAAATCAAAATAGTATCAGACTAAGGTTGAGAAACATTTGGGTAAGTAATGAGAGTGTTTCGCTCATCATATTAATGCTACTTAATCTTGATATTTCGTTTGATTCTTAGAGTTTAGAACGTTTTGATTTGTGTTTTCGTGTTATTTTATATGTTAGGTGAATTGGTGTAAACGGTGCAAAACTTGGAGAAAATAGATGTGTTGGCATGAATAAAGTATAAGTTGATATTGATTTTAGGGTCCGTCTTGTTGTCGAGAACAAACTGTCTTTTGGCACCATCGCCGGATTCCAGCCGACGCGCAGGCCAGGTGCTCGCCGAGTTTCCACACGTAGGTGGCTTCGACGACATGTGACCCTTTCGACATCTTTTCTGCCCCCTGAGTCCAACGGTGGTGTCCGTTTCTCCATCCGAACTCTGGTTTGTCCGAAAGACGTAAGAACAATTCCAACAGTTTTTGCAAAAAACTGGACAGATTTTCTGCTTGTTTTCCAGCTTCGTTTCTGGTCTTTGTCAGCCCGTTTTTTGCCCCAAAAATCACAGATTTCCTTACAACTCAATCTCTAATACCATTTGTAAAATTTGAGGCTCCAATAACCAATTTTTGAGCTCAGAAAACAACCAAACGAGCATCACACTACCAAAGCTCGACCCAAAACTCTTAGACCTTATTTGCTCCAAGTTTCATCCCCACAGAGGAGATATGGTGGTGGCGATGACAAGCCCACAAATGGAAGAAGGAGAAGAGAATCACAATGGTTGGGACTCACCTAAAAATCCACCAATCCATAACCCGGTTGCCTCTCACTCGGCTCCTCTCTTCACCACTCTCTTGTACACACTACACACACAAACACACGACTGGAACACCAACATATATGGGACACAAAATAGGATACTCAATTNCATGCTAGAATGGGGAAATATATGGGGTTCAATTAGGTCACTAAATCTTTGGCCAAACACTCCCTTCAAAATGAGCCAAAGTCCACTAAATGGGCTACCAAATAATTCCCACAACTAACTACACAAATGGGCTAACAACATAATCATCCAAACCTAAACTTGGGCCATCCGAGAGTATAGGTCGTTTCCGAGTCGAGCCAAGTCTATGGTGTCGTTAAATAATCCGACAACTACTTTAAATCATCGCCCGAATTTATTGGGTATAAAAAACCCAACAAATCTCCATTAAAGCAAAAAAGTAACAACTCAAAAAGTGACAAATTAAAAAATAACAACTCCACCAACTCTTTCTTTCCATTTTCTCTCGTCAACAGCTGAGAGTACATATTTGAACTTCTCAATTTCCTCGGTATTCTTAGCACTATTTTGACGTCTGTCCCTATTGCCATTTTTATAAGCTTTTTCACCTCTATTGACTTTCTTAGCATCAGATTCACGAACTTCTCCCGGTTTTCAATCCTTTTTTATCTCAACAACTATTTCCACTATGTTAGATTTTTAGTTATATTGACAATTCTTTAGACAAAATGATTATTATAAAAGAGTTGTAAAAGTCAAGAAATCTTTTGAGGGGTTGTATAAATGAATTATGAGTCTTTGAATTCGAGTATGGAACATGAAAACAGAGTCGCTGAATTTACGCTAGCTTATCACCTAACTGATGCTCGACAGAAAAAAATAGAATCATTGTCATCCGACTATCGCTGGATCAACACACCCGTTGCTCATTTGTCGCTAGACTGGCGCTCGAGCGATGGTATTACCGATGAAACCGTAGTTCAAAATTTTCAAGAATTCTATCTATCTGATGCTACCCAAATACCTCCTACTATAAATACTCAATGTCCATTACGCTTTTGTGGGTGGTTGACCATTATAATATATCCTCATAACACCATTCCAAGTTCCAATAACATATTCTAACATTGAGATTAAACATTTGATTCTTAAGATCAATCAACCACAAGTTGGAAAAACATCAAATTTGAATAATCTAAAACACTCACTTCCTAAATTTAATCAGGAAAGTACTTTCTCATTAGCCTTCAGAAATTACTGAAGATTGAGGGAGGTTGGACCAGAAGCACAAGAAGAATACAAGAATAAGGTGTTCGGTGATCCGCAAGAAATAGAAAATTTCAGAGCAGGTGTAGTGAAGCACGTTCTAACAGGTCTTGGAGATTACAAGAATTAGATCAACGAGTCTAGTGAGTTTTCTAGGCTGTATCATACTTTAAGTTCTTATTGTCTACAGTGAAAGTTACTGGATTTGTCCTGTAGTATTTACCCAGTTAAGGATTATTTCCATCATCAATTCTTTGTGTCGTTTATATTATTGATTTCATATAAGCCGACAATTCAACATATGGTAGTTAATTCACGTGAACTGAATTTAGAGTAATTAATTATTGTGACTTGTTGCAATATTAATCGACGATAATTTTTAATTCCGCATCATTCACTTATTCACCTCATCTAGGTAATTTTAAAGTCGAACTCGTAACTTTAACACTGAACAATCCTTTTTCAAATCATCATTCCATCTTTTGTCAAGAAATTCATTCATCACTATGGCATCCACAGTACGAAGCAACAGTACGACAAAGTTTCAAAAAGGATGAACTTTTTTGCTATTTTGTAACATGTATCGTCATACCAGATAACCTTGTTTGAAGATACATGGGAAACCATCAAATTGGAAGTAAAAAGGACAAGTATTTTGAAAAAATCAATTTAAGTAAAGAACAACTTAAAGAAACTGTATAAGTTAATCAATCTCATTCCACCTAGAGCTGTAAATGGATAGAATATTGACCGGATTTGTCTATATCCAATCTGATTAGATTCGGTTCAATAAGAATAATTATCCGATCCGAGCCGAACCGATCCGATAATCCAACGGATATTTGATTGTTAAATCCATATCCGATTTACTATGTTATCGGATATTCGACTTAATAATCCAATCCGAAATTAAAGAAATTAGGAAAATAAAATCAATATTGAAATTTTTTTTCTGATTTTTTCAATTTTTAAATGGGTTTAATAATTATAAATTTTTCAACTTTTTAACTTTCAGCTTATTGAATTGAAAAACGCAAAAAATTGCTTATTCATTTATTGACTCACTTATTTATAGAGGAAATCTCCAAATATTTTGTTATAAACTTTCAATGTGAGATAAAAATCAATATGGCTTGGTTATAGTATATTGTACCTTTAATTTGACCGTACTGTATTATATACTTAGAGCATGTCTGGAGGAGCTTTTTGTTCAATGGCAATTGATTAAAGGACCGTTGCTCACTACAACATGGGTCCCAGTGTGCCAGCAAAAATTGACTTCGTACAAATGAAATGTCGAGAATGCTGTTTCATCATGCAAAATGGTTTAAATGTAGAGGACAAAAAGGTCATTTTTCCATAAAATGATTCAAAATGCCCACTGCCATGTCAGAATTCCTGCCAATTTTGTCTAAAGCAACGGTCCAATTTCACCATTGCAACGGTCCAAATTTGGCTTTTAAGCCCGCCCAGACACAGCCTTAGTTTGATTGTAGTGTATTATATAAATAGTCATTTATAATTTATTAAATTAATCGTTTTTCCTAACTTTTACTAATTAATAAAAATTTAAAACTCTCCAAATATTTCAATTAACAATATTATAATATATATTTTTTATCAAATATATTTATTTTATTAAGTTCTTAAAGCTATATTTGTACTATAATTTATATGTATTATTAAATAATTTTTAGATTGATTAAAAATTTTAAATAATATTAAAATAAGAAAATACATTTTTATGTTTTTTTACGCCTAGGTTTCGTCTAGACTCGCCCAGCTGAAACTTCCACGTCTCGTCGCATATTACGCTTTTTAGAACACTGTATACATGTAGATTGACTTTCTTATTTTTTTTATATTTTGAATTTGATGACTTTTTTATTCTAAATTTCTTTATTTTCTCATTTATTTATTTTGGTGACAAATAACATACTATAAAATAATTTATCAACTCAACCATTTATAATAAATCGGATCGGGCTTCTATCAGATCGGATTGATCTATATCCATATTTGATCCATTTAGTTAACGAATTATCGAATTTGGATCTTGATCGAATTATCAGATTGAGATCCTAAATCCATATCATACTAATTTCATTGGATTCAGATAGGATTCGGATCAAAATCCAATCTATTGACAACCCTAATTCCACCTCCTCTACCTCCCATGCACAAAAATGCGGATTCACCCACACTTTAAATATATCGACGGATCGCTCAAAACCCCGGATTATGAATTGTGGAGCGACTACTCATATACTTGAAGAGACTACTCATTAAGTTGAGGTTTCATATAGCTTATGCGATTATTACGTAGGATGTCAATCAACTGAGAATATTTCTCATTTAATTGGAAACAAAAGAATTTATTTAATTGTTAAATAAGGTATTTGAGTTGGGACATTAGCGAATAAGAGAGAAGTGAAAGTCCTTATTCGATTACGACTAGAGCATTATGTTAATATAAAAAGCATGTCTGTCTTTTCTTTATTTCCTTTTATTGAATGAGAAATATAACTTTTTATTTCAACGAGCTAAACAAATGTGAAAAAGAATTTTATAATTCATAAATTCGAAACAAAATACCAACCAATAATGAAAACTCAAGGGATGAATAATCTAAAAATGTTAAATAAAATNTCAATCACAAGGTATGGAAAAGAGAAAAAGGAGTTCAAGACGTTTTTGTTGAAGATATGGAAAAAATAATCCTACACTATTGGAAAAATATCATAGAGATTATTCTTTTCATATTTTCAAATCCCCCCACCCCCTTCAAACTCAATATGGTGCAGTAATGAAAGATAAATCGATCGAATTAAATCTTCAAAAAAAAAAAAAACATTATAACACGATATACAATTATTTACTCAAAAATTGAAATCATACAAAATAAACATCACAAGAGGCCTTCCAATTATTTACTTAAAAGTCGAAATGACTTATCGAAATCAATCACCACTTTCTCACTACATTTCGAAAGCAATAACCATATGGTGGTGGACGGCGACGACTCGTTGATGTGAAGCTAACTTATTTCCAAATCATAGACCATATTCTTGTGTGTAAGTATATCTTTTGTAAGAATTTGACAAAAAAAAAGCCAAATTACCTTTATTAGTGAAACACAAGGATTGATTGGTTTCGATTGATTACGATTTTGTCCCATGCAAATGGCCAGGAACCTTGGGCTTGGGTGCTGGCGTGGGGACTGATTCAATGGACTGTCAATTTTCAATTATTTTAGCTTTATGTGTCCAGTCAAATGTGTGAAATCAAGGATTTTTCATGAATCTTGTCACAACTTACATTTAGTACATTATCTCTTCTTATTATAAAAATACAAACACAGGTTTGATGATATTTGGGCATTAAATTTCTGAAAATATCATGGCAATGTAACCTCGCTAGATCAATAATTGCATATGTACAAAAGGTACAACAATCGTCCTAGTCCACTAATTACATGACACGTGTCCTAGCAGATCAAATTGTCCCTAGTTGTACGGGAGCCGAGGGGAACCAAAAAAAAAATTCAATAAAACTATTTGTACAAAGTTGAGTTACAAAAGTTGAATTACAAAGTTTGTTGACAAAATCCAAACTGTGGATTTCAAATGATTTAAAAATCTGTTTTTTAAATGATTGGTGTAGATGTTATTTTGTCAACCAACTTTATACATGTAACATAACTCAAAAAATTTATACTGATATGATACCTATGCCCCTGTAATCAAATTACATTGAATAAACACTTTTCACTAATTTAAAATAAAAATAAAAATAAAAACTAATAATCTAGAACTTTATCAAAATATTAAATATAATCTAAATAACATATTTTAAATCAAACTACTTTTAAAATAATATCTTCTATCTCTACTCTTATCTTTAATTTACTAGCCAAGGTGACATTTTGGTACTATAAATAGGCCAACCTCTCAAGCATTCTCCTGCATTCAGTTTTCCCTTGACATTCTTTGTTATTGTACAAACAGGGCAAGCTTCCACATTTTCTTCACCAAATTCAGTTGCTTCTTCTTCTTACAAGGTACGTATATTTCTATGAGTTTTTTTTTTTTTTTGAACAATGCTCAATTCAGAACAATAACCTATTCATATTTCATTCGGTTATTCCAATGATGACAAAAAGTATTACTGTTATTCAAAGAAGACGAAATCTGGCTAGTAAGATGAAGGCGTTCATAAAGTTATTTTTGCAATATGGGACGCGTTAAAATTCATTTGTTTTTGACATTCATTACAACCCATATTATCATCATGACTGACTTGTTCGATTAGTAAGAGAGGGTGTTGTGTTGATTATAAGCTCACAAACTGAGGCTTAGCGTGTACTTGCATGTTTTGTGTCATCTTCTCATATTGTAGAGAAAAGTAGAAAAATATTACTGCATTAAAGAAGCCATGACGATCAAGCCAGGAGTACGAATTGTGGATGGAAAACTGGTGGTGAAGGACCAGACCATATTAACAAACGTGCCAGACAATGTGATAGCCACCTCTGGAGCCTCGACTGGACCGGTGGAGGGTGTGTTCTTGGGGGCAGTGTTCGACCAAGAGAACAGCCGCCACGTGGTGTCTCTCGGGACACTGCTCGAGGTTCGATTCTTGGCTTGTTTCAGGTTTAAGTTATGGTGGATGTCCCAGAAAATGGGTGACAAGGGCAGAGACATTCCCCTAGAAACTCAATTCTTGTTGGTCGAAACTAAAGATGGATCAAATTTGGAGTCAAATGTTAATGGGAATGAGGATAACAACGTTGTTTACACAGTGTTTTTGCCTTTGGTTGAGGGACTATTCAAAGCTTGTCTTCAGGGGAATGATAAAGATGAGCTTGAATTGTGTTTAGAGAGTGGGGATATCGACACCTTAGGGTCGGCATTCACCCATTCAATTTACATTAGTTCAGGTACCGATCCGTACGTCACGATATACGAGGCGATGACGGCCGTCAAACTGCATCTCGGGACATTCAGGCTTAGGCAGGAGAAAAAGTTGCCGGGGTTTGTGGATTACTTTGGGTGGTGCACATGGAATGCTTTCTACCAAGAGGTGACTCAAGAGGGCGTTGAGGCCGGCCTCGAAAGTCTTGCAGCAGGTGGGACCCCTCCAAAGTTCGTCATCATCGACGATGGGTGGCAAGCGACCGCGGGCGACTATGAAAAAACAGAACAACAACAACAACCACCCCTTCTAAGACTAACCGGAATCAAAGAAAACCCAAAATTCCAAAGCAAGAACGATCCAACGGAGGGAATCAAGAACATAGTCAACATTGCAAAACACAAGCACGGACTGAAATACGTCTATGTATGGCACGCAATAACCGGCTACTGGGGCGGTGTCCGTCCTGGCGTGAAAGAAATGGAGGAATATGGATCGAAAATGCAGTATCCAAAGCTGTGCAAGGGAGTTCTAGAGAATGAACCAGGGTGGAAAACTGATGCAATTGCATTGCAAGGATTGGGACTAGTGAATCCAAAAAATGTGCACAAATTTTACAATGAAATGCACAGTTATTTAGCCTCTGCGGGAGTTGATGGGGTAAAAGTGGATGCACAATGCATATTGGAAACACTTGGGGCAGGACTTGGGGGTAGGGTTGAATTAACAAAGCAGTATCATCAGGCACTTGATACTTCTGTAGCTGGGAATTTTCCCGATAACGGCTGTATTTCTTGCATGAGTCACAATCTCGAGTCCCTCTATTGGTATGTTTTATTTTTTTACTTTCTTTAGAGGATTAGTTATTTATATACATGTTTGGCTAGGCTTTGAAAAAATATGTTACCATGTGATCTGATCTAATGCTCCAAAACAAACCAGCTCAAAACAAACGGCTATTGTGAGAGCGTCTGATGATTTCTACCCTGGCGATCCTGTTTCCCATACAATTCACATTGCTGCAGTTGCATACAATACTGTGTTCCTTGCAGACATAATGCTAACTGACTGGGACATGTTCCATTCACTTCATCCAGCAGCTGAGTACCATGGATCTGCAAGAGCTATTAGCGGTGGCCCTGTGTATGTTAGGTAACATATCGGAGACTTTCGGGACATTTGTTACGTTGGACCAGATAGAATTGAGTATGATAATCGCATCATCTATACCATTAGTGCTTTTTACATATTAATTAGAGAGAATAGGCTCGATGTCAATTGAATACTAAATCATGTACGATTAATATATTTGTCTCCGTTAATAGTCAATTACTTAAAAAGGATCTCTGTAATTGTTTCTATCGATTAATTTTTCGTAGTATGATCAATTATTGCATATCTCGAACATATAGTTAACTAATAGAATCTTTGTAACAGTGATGCACCAGGGAAACACAATTTTGATCTTCTGAAGAAGCTCGTTCTACCAGACGGTTCGATTCTTCGAGCCCGGTTGCCCGGTCGACCTACAAAGGACTGCTTATTCTCCGACCCTTCTCGTGACGGCATTAGGTAAAATTTCTTAATTCAACGTTGTTGTTCAGTAAGGAGAATTTGATAAAATTTACTAATAAAAGAAAGAAAAAGCTAGAATCTTGACTTATGTTGAGTCTCGTCTTAATATAGTTCCAATTCACCAAACCCGCCAAACTTTGTTCAGATTTGAATGTGAAATCCCACTAAAATCTTGCATTTTCTGACTGAATCTGGTTTCATTTTAGTCTGTTGAAGATATGGAACATCAACAAGTATACTGGAGTACTTGGAGTATACAACTGCCAAGGTGCAGCATGGAACATTATTGAGAGGAAGAACACATTCCACCAAACTAAATCTGAACCATTAACAGGCAATATTAGGGCTAGTGATGTACATTTAATTTCTGAAGTTGTCCTGGACTCCAACTGGAATGGTAATGTGGCTATTTACTCCTATCGGAATTGTAACCTCGTCACTCTGCAATATGATGTTGCCATACCAGTGTCTCTCAAGGTCCTCGACCACGAGATCTTCATTATTAGTCCGATTAAAGAATTGGGGCCCAGTTTCAGCTTTGCACCCTTAGGCCTCATTGACATGTTCAATTCTGGTGGCGCAATAGAAGAGCTCAAATATGAAGAAGTCAAGGCTGGGACTCAAGTTTCTGGAGTCAGAGAGGAGCACTTGAGCACGGGGGCGGTGGCTGTTGTCTCCATGGATGTAAAGGGTTGCGGGCGTTTTGGAGCTTACTCTTCAACTAAGCCTAGAAAGTGCACAGTGGGATCGTTGCCGGTCGAGTTTGAATACGATTCAGCATGTGGGTTGATGACCTTGAACTTGCATGATTTGCCTCCTGAGGATCAGAAAGTCCACATTGTTGAGATTGAGCTATAAACATCATTTTAGGCTGCTTAAAGAAGCATAACTGGAAAATATGGAGCTAATAAAGTGGACTTACCAGAGATGGTGCAATACTTTCCATATTCTAGCTAAATCTCATTCATTCCAGAATGGCAATTGAAAACAGTTCCATCATTATCATGTTATTTAAATTATGAAATATTTTTCAATCGATTTTCTTGATATCATTTGAGAAGGGTGACAATATTATGATTATAAGCAACACAAATAAATACACCCCTTGTAATGCTAATTTTTTATCCAAGAAACATGTAGATTCAGCACAATTTGGAATTCTGAACCAAAGCCACTCTGGAATTGATGGTCTTTAGACACTCCAAAGCCAAAAGTAAGCACAATTTGGAATTCTGAACCTACTGGGGTCTGAGAGATGTAATTTCGTAACAGTATGAGTAGGAAAATTGCAAGTAAAAAAAAATCTATCATTAAATCATTCTGAAATCTGTAGAGCAGTTCCTTGCACAAGAGAGTTGAATTGCAACTTTTGTCAGTAAATGATGGGATCTTCATTGCTGAAACGAGTTGTTCAAATCGATTACAAAATACATCATTGAGAAATCTATAAAATTCTAGCCACCATGGCTGAGAAGAACCTGCTCTGGATTCCTCATGAAGCCTTCTGTTACATAGTTCTCTTCGTCTGTCTGCTAAAAGATTGGTTCTCCATTTTATCTACGCTTCAAACTTTTCATCTCCCTCCTAGTTCTCGAGATACGAAGTTTCTTCATTATCATATTCAAAAGTTGAAACAACAGAACTAATTCCTTGCAAACTTTATCAGTCTTCCGACCCTTCAAAGTTCTCATAGTCATTACCTTCCTGCCTTGAAAAATTTCAGTATTAATTTGTATCAGAAAGTTCCAGCTGCAACTTTGCCATTTCACGCTCGTGTTGTGGAAGGTTCTGAAGAAGGTCGATAACACTATTTCACAAAATGCATCATGCTCTTCCGATGTGTACTCTTCAAAATGTTTAATTTGTCTACACAATTTATCCCGTACATTGTAGGATGATTTTCTTACATTCATCCAATCGTCGTAATTGGCCCATCTTATTCTCAAATAAAGAAGAAACAAAAAAATGGGCCTATTAAATTCTTTAATGACATTTGGAAATGATTTATAAATAATCAAACTTCATTTTTAACTATACATTTCAATGAGTTCACGAGTATTATCCGCTTATCCTACCAATTATAAATTAACTGTTTATAAATTCGTTTCAAATTGAAGCTAGCTTAAAGAATAAAAATAATAGGATGCTTCTTCCACAATATTGCAAGGAGGCAACCGTACTGGATATTGGTGTTGTTTTTCAATCATTTCGGGAAAAAAAAAAAAATTCAAAGCATTAAATTTTTGGAAAAAAAATATTTGATTTTATATAGTCAAAATGAGTTTCAATAAGTTATTTGAACAAATCATTTCTTTGTTACTTAAAAGGTAATTAACAAAAAGAATAATGCTAGATTCAATTATGTGAAAACATATATATATTCAATTAAATGAGTTATTTGACTTTGCATATAATTGAATCTATCATTTAATGATATATAATTGTCACATAAACTAGTGTTTAACACCAGTGATGATGAATAACATTACTTTAACAAAAAATATCCCTATCTTTTGTATTTATTAAGAAAATAGTCTATATAATTTCAAACTTGGCATTTACACTCTCATTTCAAACATTTCTTGTTGAGGTGGTCTTTTTCGTCATGTTCCGTTAAATCCTTCCTTAAAACATAGGTAATTAGAGCAAAAAGTCCCTATCATTTGCCTTCATTCCGCAAATTGTCCATATTGTTTCAATTTTGGCACTCAATCGATCTTTCTTTGTGCAAAAGGTTCTTATTGTTTATTTTTTCCATTAAAACATTGTAAAATGGCTAATTTACCATACTCTTTAAATAAACAAATAGAAAAGAAAGAAATAATATAATATAAAAAATTGCATCTAGAATTTTAAAATTTTTAAAAAGTGCAAACGAGTCTCAAATAAAACAATTTAAAATATTCTAACAAAAGAAAAATATTTTATCTTCTCAATTAACCCTCTTATCCCCACGCCCATCACCTACCCTTCACCACCACCCCAAAAAATTAAAAAGAAACTTGGATGAGGAATCAGGGGTATTAAGCACTAAAGGTTTCAAACAAGAACCTTTTATGCTAATTTCAATAGGAAGGGGGTTTTCCGCATCATGTCTAATAGTTCAGGGGTTCTGCGCCAATTAGCCTCTTTATTACATGAAATCATGCTATATACTCGTTTAATTAATTCTGACTGTAATTTGATCACAATGTGTTGAAATATTAATTTGGGTATATGTTAACATTAGAACCCTTGTATTAACTTTTACTATTCTGATTTAAGCTGGTATGATTGGGTGTTGTATTTTGCAATTGTAAATCTTTATATGTTTTATGTCCTTGGTATGAACCTTTTATTTTTTAATCTGGGATAAAAAGTGATGGCTCACAACCCTACGAAGTTGGACTCGTTTGCACTCTACAGAACGGGCAGCAGCTCTTTAAGAGTATCTCCAATAGACTCTCTATTTTTAAAGAGCATATTTTATCATTTGGAGAGTATCTATAAATTTAAAGAGTTAAAATTTTGAAGTACTTCAACAAGCCATTTATATTTAACACTTAATTTTACTACTTCCAAAAAAATATTTATTATTTTTGTTAATCTTTTATTTTAACTAGCTTTTCTTTAAATTATTTTATTGTTTTCTTATATTGAAAATAGAAACACTTTGAATGCATTTAATTATAGAGAGTGAGTTTGGCTCTCCAAATTTGGAGAACCAGACTCACTCTCTAAATTAAAATATTAATTTAAAGAATCTCTTATAACATACTTAGAGAAAAATGCAGGAATAAAGAGCTAAACAAAATACGTCTATTTATTCAAACTATAGAACAATAAAAGTAAAGATCAAGAAAATGACTCAAAACACTACCTAATGGATTAAGAAAATGACTCAAAACGCTACAGAAATACATACTAAATTGGAACTTCCATTTTTACAGGAGATCGTGCAGTATCAACTGCTGCAGAATGAGGCCAATCCTTTGCACAGATTAGGGCCTCCACTGTCTCGGGTCGTAGTGAACATCTGTAACTGTCCATCTCCTTGCGTCTGGTATCAGAATTTTTGCAGCATCGCTCCCTAATCTTTTCAATTTTTGCAGAATTTACCCAACTTTAGTTTTGTGTCGGCAAAGGTCCCTAATCTTTCACAAATATGCATATGGAGTCCAAAGGGATGGAATTTGATCGTTAGTTGACCAAAAAAATTGGACTTTGACCAATTTTAACTAAATTGAAAGAGGGTAAAACGGTAAATTTAAAATTACCACATTAAATAAATAAACAAAAAATAAAAAATGGTTTCTTCTTCACCCCCAGCCTACCCCTCACAACTGAAAATTAGCCACCATCGACTATATTCTTCCCCAACACCATCCAAACTGTCGGACCCACACATCACCGGAAAGCCCACATTTCCCTCTACACATCCCACGTAACCACCAACCCTAACTCCATAAGATGTCGCCGGAATAATCACCAAAAACCCCCAACTCGCGAACTCAAAAACTGCAGGCAACTCCTACAATTACACCCACAATCGCAGGGTATCATCGGTCGACTCCCACAATCCAAACATCTAATCTGAGGATGGTATTTCAACAAATAAGGGAGCAAAATATATTTATTTTTATTTTTTGGGGTTTTAATTTAATTTTTTTATCTTATTCAATGCGATAGTCAAAAATTGATAAAGTCCACTTTTCTTTGTCAACTAACTGTCAAATATATATATTTTGGACTCCGACTACATATTTATGAAAAGTTAGAGACCTTGTGTAAAATGAAGGTTAGGTTAAAGTCGCAAAAATTAGAAAGGTTAGGGATCGCCGCTACAATTTTCCCTTGCAAAAATATTAATAGAAACCCAAAAATTCACGGTAAAAGGCATCGAACACATCGTCAATCAGCTGCAGGACAGTATGTAAATTGAAAAAAATGCTTCAGAAGAAATTAAATCTACGACAGCAAACAATTCAGAACAAACACAAAAAAAATCATCAAATTTTGGATCGAAATCGAGAAACACAAGGTAGACACTGTTGGAATACATTAATATTCAGATCTAGAAATTAGTACCTTAAAAAAACAGATTTAGGAGAAACGAAGGTGATAAATGAACTTATGTTGATAAATCTCGCGCAGAATCGACTTCGTCAGCTCTCCAAGAGAGCCAAATCTAGGGTTTCACACAAAGGAAGATGAGAGAGAAAGTCGACGAATGAGAGGAGAGAGAAAGAGAGAATTGGGCTTGAGCCAATTGAATTGGACCTATAATTTTTTAGCGTTGTTAAAGTGATAAGGTTTATTGGGGTGGGGAATTGATAAAAAGAGTAACCAAAATTAAAGAGAAAATTACACCTAGACCTGGATTTAAAATATCATTTTCAAAAATCATCAATCAAGTTTCATTTTGCAAAAATCGGGTTTTAATTAATAATAATTTTTTTTATAATAATCAAACCCTAAAACTAATTCATTTGAAGAAAGTACTCTCTCACCGTCTCTCCATTTTCTCCCCTCATACGGCGATTCCGTCACCTGCACCGCCCGCCAACTCAGCCGTACCGTCCGTTCCCTACTCCCAAGCCCAGCCGCACCGTCCGTCTCACTGTCAAACCATGAAGGTGAAGGTGTTGTTGTGTCTCCCCACACGACGATTCCGTCGCCTCCACCGCCCGTCACAGCCACTGCCACCGTTCGTTCCCTACTCCCAAACCTCAGCCGCACCATCCGTCTCACTGTCAAACCACGAAGGTGAAAGTGTTGCGTCGTTATGGTAAATGTACAGAAGTGGTAACGATGGTGCCCAGATTTGTTCTCTGTACGTGGCCTTTCATTCATTCTTTTATTTTTTAATATTTTGGCCG